GTGTGACATGATGAGTAGGCAGGGTCTATGTAGTCATCATTTATATGTTCATTATTCCCTAACATGAGAAGAAATATCCCTGGCCCCTATATGATTTGGTGTTGTCATCAAATGCTTACTCGAGTACAATCTGATGTGGTCACCAAAAATTTCTATCGGGAAACATAATCTTAAACATTAAGGTTGACATGCTTCCATGTCACAAATTCATATAGATATCTTAAAGAACAAAGGAATACTTAATCACTTATCTAAGGGCTGTTTAATTTTAGTACAACAATAGTCATCCATGATGTACTCTTTGTTATGTTAGGGAATATTGGAACTTGGCAAGTGGGAGATTGTTGGAAGTATACCCATTGTCACAACAATTTAGTATATTACTATTAATACTAGAGTCCTTTTGGGTTACACGTAAGAAAATATCTTAACATTATTTGACAAGAGAGATGTCGAGGATCTAGTTTGCTAATTTATTACTAATTAATAAATTAATAGAAACTTGTAGATCTCAAGGGTTTAAAGTGGAATATTTAAAATTCAAATATTTAAGGATAATTACACAGTGACCAAGTAATTATCTAGAAGAAAAAGTCAAAACTCAGGCTCCATAAAAAGATGGCAAAAATAGTTCATAGTTCCTCTCCAATCCTAATCTCGATTTTCCCCCTCTCTCCCTTCCCTTCTCGATTGTTGATGCCCTAAGCAAAGAAAAGTCAAAACCCTAGCTTTGTAGGGTTTGTGTTCAAGAGTTGATCACATTATCAAAGGATTGTCAATTTTGCAAGATTTTTTTCTTGGGTGCAATTACAAGAGATGAACGTTGGTCTGGGTTCTTTGCATCCACACAACACATCAACAACAAGAGAAATCAAAGGACTTCAAGGGTACGAATTCTAATCTTCTTTTGTGTGTTTAGTTGCATTAAGATTATGAACATGTAATCTCTGTTATCAAATATGTTTTGCGCTTTCGCTATCTTTATGACTTTTCTATGTTTGTTTTATTGCATATATTCCATCATTTCTAGATTATATGGATTTTTCCAAATGCTTGCCTATACATCATCATAAAGTCTAGGAAAGATGTCTCATTTGATAAATGTGTCTTTCAATCAGTTTCCAAGTTGTCTAATAATGGTCCTAAGTCTTTCGATTGGATTCCAAGTTGTCTAATAATGGTCCTATGGAAAACTTAAAGTGGATCGAATGACTTAAGAATCCAACTATAACAATTTTTACGATCTTACTAGTTTTTTTAATAAAAAGTTCATCCATTAAAAAATAACAAATAATATAATTTATCCATTAAAAAATTATTACATAAAAACCTAAAGTAGTAATCTAAGTAGAACCACTTTTTAAAACTCATATTTTAAAACGAAAATCTATTTCACGCATTTATTTTTCTTAAGATTTAATTTCTTGTATAATTATTTAACGATCAAACTATGAAACTCAATATGTATAACCTTATGTGCTTTAGTTCTAGTCGCTTGAAATTGAAACATTTCAAAATAAAGTGAGTCCGTGTGAATGTGTTCGATATATAATTTTCTTAGGTTTTCTCGATCTAGTTTATTTTATTTATTTATTTATTTATTTATTACAATTTGTTGTTGTCGTCGTCGTCGTCGTCGTCTAAACCGAAAGTCAAATTAAACCAAAGCCAAGACAACCATGATCAAATAAAAAACCAAGTTACAATTTGTTTTGGTTTGTTTAGAAAACCACATAAACCAATTCTTAGGAAGTTAGGGTTAAAAATAAAATCCAAAATTTTAATGGTGCGAACATAAAATCTAAAATTACAAAATAAATATCTAAAGTTTAGAGCATTAAATTTAAATTTCTAAACATGAAATACGAAGTTCGAAAGTAAATGTGTGACATTCAATGAGTAAATCATCATAGTTGGTTTGTTGTAGTGATGACCGATGTAGAAAAGAGTAGGTAAAAGTGTGTTGGTAGATGAATCAATCGACAATGCCCTAGAATCGATCTTGGTTAAACATAACAGAAGAAAAAGACCAAAAGTGGGAACTATGTTCTTATGTTTTCAAAATTTTAATTTAATTTATAAAATATTAAAATATGAATTATTTCATTATAAAATTAACCAAATAATTAAATTTGGTAGTTCGGTTTTCATTTGTCCGAATATGATACTATCATGATTCAAACCATAAATCAAATTCAGAGCTAATTTGGTTTAAAGCCGAACTTTAAACTTGGTTTTGTCCGAATTCGCTTTCTATTTAATTTATTTTTCGATTTTTCAATTTCAAACCAAATAATGATCACCACGGCTTTGAATCTCATATGTTTAAACCTTGACCTGTTTTTTAAAATCTATTTTCAAAATACAAATGTGAAAATGTATAATTTACATCTCCTACAATACTCATAAGGGCGGTTAAAAAAATTTAATAATTATTAACACAAGTAGACATTATATAATTATTGCAATATTTAGCAAATTATGAAATCATCAACTATCATTACCAATATCCGACTACTTGTTACTTTCAACATGCTTAATAATGCATCCACATAATCGTCCTTATCTCTATCATAATTTTTGGTTGAATTATGGAGTGTATTTGGTATTAATACGAAGTATTTTATTATACCAATTGAAGATGCATTCATATATTAAAAATAATTGGGATCAAATTGGTACACGATCAATTATTATATGTTAGACCTTAATTACTCGTGAGAACCATAGATTTAAGTTTGGTGACTTGTCAGATCATGGCTCGTTGTCAAAGAAACCATTTACGATTACCTAGAATCAGATATGGTTTGTATCTTTAATCTTTTTATTTATCCTTGAAACAATATATAAACTGAGCTAATTTTTATTTATGGTAATTCATATCTAATAAATTTAACATTTTAACATGCATACTTTGATTACTTTCATTTGTAATATTTTAGCATCTTATTTTATTGATTAACTTTCACACATAACATAAGGAGTTAAAGTGTATTTTTTATGAAATAGTTATATATAAATATATTAACTATAAAAATTAGGATATAACAGTTCATGTCATACGTATGTACTAAGTTGCCAGATCACATTGTACTGGAAGCACATCACGAGTGTCGCTGACACCGGGGGAGCCAAATACCCCTCTTCTTTAATACGTGTGTTTTTTCCTCATTATGGACGCCACCCGAACCCCGCTTTCCTTAGAAATACGATTCAAACAAATGAAATTATTTGCTGGTTTTTGTTGTTCTTTCACTAATTTTAATATCAAAATAAAATAAAAGGGAATATAAAGAACCAAACGATAATCGAATATGTAAATTGGTTCGGTTTTCGCTTTCCATATTTTTGAAAATTGTTTCGGTTTTTGTGGGATTCGGGTCCACGGTTATTGGGTTTTTCGGGTTTAAAACTAGGATTTAAACAAAAAAAAATGTCCATGTGCAGCTTATACGCTATATAACTATTTCTCACAGCAGAGCTTATACGCTATATAATTATTTCTCACACCAGAGGATTGCAATACAGCTTGTTATTCGTTTACCCATTATGTTAATGTAATACTTTTTTTTATTATAATCTTATATATAGAATGTTTCATATCTAAAACAATCAACCAAACTCCAATTAACCAATACATGTTCTTTGTTTTGTTTTGTTTTTTTTTTTAATTCTAAAGTAATTTCTTCACAGCTTAAGTGAAGTCATTCTTGATTAAATGAATATAGCGTTGTTGAAAATCATATAAGAATGGGTACTATTCTAATTGATTGGCTTATGGATGGTAGCTTTTTAACATTTAGAAATCCTATTTTCAAGGTTGTAGAAATCGTTCGACGGTAGCTTGGCGGTGAACTAGGATCAAGCGATTAATCGGCTAGGTGGGGATTAATCGAGGACCATTAATTATTAAAAAGTTATTAAAAATTAATAAATTTAACATTAATACTAAGAATAAAAGTAAACAAGTTAACAAATAATAAATATGTAATACATAATTTATTTTTCTTTTCAATTTGGATATTTCTTCTCTTAAGCATTTACTCAAACACTTTGCATGCTATCTTGATTCTCACGAATGTCACAGACACCATAAGAACTACATAAACCATATAAGTGAGTCGATTACATTTATCCATTTGTGCACTCAAATAAAGATTTAATAATTGCCTTCTTTCGATCCAAATGAGTCGTTGAATGTCACAAGCACCATTCGGATTCAAAATCATTCGGACATTTGTGGGTACCCTTTGGAATCAAACCCGTTCGTGTATTCACCTACTGAAGGATCGATATCGGTTTTCCATGCCATGAGGTTCTTATTTATTCCTCTTACAAAATCAATCCTGAATTTCATACTTAGAAGAAACGTCTTTCTCAATGAGTATTGATATCGGTGGTTGATGGTGGTTCAACGGGTAAAAGGAGATGGTGGTTCGTGAAGCATCATTTAATTTATTATCATTATTCGTCATGGAAATTATTGTAAGATACATACTTGTAATCCACAATACATCTCAATAGTTACCCCTCAACTATTACATCTAGAGGCTTTGAATCCTCTCAACTATTGAAGACGTCCTTCTAGGGGTATTTATTGGCTCACATCCAATATTTTTGCAGATGGAACTGATTCAATCCAACTGTTAATTAGATATTTGATATTTTCAACGAATCCAATCCGAACTAAAAGCATTCATAATGATGAGTTCAATGAAAAAATTGAATGATATGGCAAGTCCATATGTTATTCAATGAATGAAACTCAACCACTGTGAGATACCACATTAGCATTCAATAGATTTGGAGTTCAATGGTCATTGAACCCTTCAATGAGAAAAATGAAAGTTTTAATCCTTAAATTATTTACTATAAATTATATTTTGTAACATTCTATAGAACTTTGTAGAGTTCAATGCATTGTAGAGAAAACAATAATAAAATAGTATGAATTTAAGAATGATGATGTTGCAATCCATTAAACTCTATGGAGTTCAATGCATTGTAGATGCCCTAAACCAATACAACTGGACATTAGATTTAATCGATTCATATTCACTATTAGGTATCCAATTACATCAATCAAAACCACAATAAATAAACTTATAGTTTTCTCATTCATTCATTGTCGATGAAACCATTGTCCAAGTTGAAGCTGCTTTAATGGAGGTCCAATGTCCGGCTTACTCTTCCGTGGACACTTCCATTTTCCTGGCTCAATGTTTGTCATGTCTCCTAATATCTTCCTTCTTCTCTCACTTTCTTCCTTCATCTTTCCTACACCACATGAAGAAAAAGAAGATCTCTTTCCATTCAACTTATTCCCATTCATTGACTTGTCATCTTTTTCTCTCTTGTTTTTAATCGAAACAAACCCATTTCCATTCCCTTCTTCTTCTCCACGCTTACTCAATGAATCACCATTTGCTTCTTCTTCATTTTCATGATCTCTCCTCCTACAAGATGAACCATTATCACACTCCACAAGTTTTTCATCATCAAAAACATGCAAGTTTTCGTCTCTTTCATCCTGCAAAGTGCATGTTCAAACATTCTATTAATTCCTCTTCACTAACAAATATCATACCCAACAATTAACTAATATAGAACTATTAAAAAAAAAAGATAGTTTGCCTACATTTCCATTACAAGGCTCCTCTTTATCAACCATGCTATCTTTTTGAAGAGAAAGTATGATTGTATGATCTGATGCTGGAGATTCATATGCATAGCTACAGAACCAGTTCTCAATCCCAGGAGGAGGTTCTGATTGGAGTAATAAATTTAACACGAAGAAATTAGAATCCAATTTATGTTTTTTAATTAAAAAAAAAAATTAAAAGTATAAAACCTCATCTTTTTAAAGAATTTTATGCATACCACTTGAGAGCAAAGGAGAGTCCAAAACCTGAGGATGAACAATGAAAGTTGTACATAAGAAATTTCATACGATGAAGTTATTAATACTCCTGAATTCAACTATATTTATCTATATAATCAAGAATCCTACCTGATTAACATATTTGATGTCTTCATTTTTCTCGTTACTGATCAACTCCGTGGAATCTTCTACTGGTTTGAGTATGTTTTCAGTGTTGCACTCTTTTCCATAACTTTGTTGGGTTTCTTGAGGATCGGAAAATCCAAAATTGTCATTGGTTTCCAGCACGAAGGACTCGTATTCATAGCTTGAGAACCAATTTTTTATGTCGGGAGGAGGATCTGATAAAACTGGAAGCAACGAACACATGTTAGTTACATAATTACTTTCGAAAACTTGAATCTTTGAAATAGAAACTGCAATCTGTATATATTATGTCTGCTACAAGTAAGTTTCGGATGTAATTTACATACCAGAAGAAGGCAAGAGAGGATCTGATTCCGGAGTGTCCGACCCCTGAGGAAAATTAGGTATAGATTGAAATTGAAGATCAGGATAAACTGAAACCTTCTACTCGATTTAAACGTGGATATTAAAAGCACCCACACAAGAACGAAGGCAATTACAATTTTCTGGAATTGCAAACAATTTGGATGCATAAAATTAGAATTTTCACTGGATATGCTGTTTTCATTACGGGTTTTTTAACCCAAAATATGTATAAATCAAATTAAAGCCAAAAGCCTATTCAAGCTTCAGGTTAACATGTTGGCTGAATGAGCTTATCAGAAGGATATTTATCTGAAACAAGAATCCACAAAAAAAAAAAAGGTGATGAAATTGGTGTAGACCTTATTGGCAGAGTCGTGACGAAGAACTGCGTTGTCACACATAATTATGTTTTCTGCAGGGGAATTTGAGGTATCCGTTAATCTCATATATATTATTGAACTGAGAAGAAGAAGAGGGGGAAACGGGGATGGGTTCACCTGATTCTCCCAAATTTGCATCTGTAATCATATGTGTTGAGTCCTGTGTGTCTCCTGGTGATGAAATTGATTAAGGATGAGGGAATATGAGGGAAACTGCGTTTGCTGAAAATTTTTAAATAAATGGAAAGATCCATCGTTTGATTAATGATGAGGGAAAATGCAGATACTGCGCTTGCTGAAATTTTTAAAAGAAATCGAATATCCCGGGATTCCGTTTTGGCGGGAGAATTCCCATTTTGGTCAAAATCTTTTGGTTTGGTAAAGCATCTACACCTCTACATGTTGTTTGTTCTTTTCTCCAACGATCCACCAATTGCGAAACAGCCCTTTTGCCTATTAGGATTCAAGGGCGTGGGTGTTTAAGGTTAGGGATATGCAGCAGAACTGGGTACCGTTTTTGGAATCGGAACCGATTCAAAACTGTTGGTTTTGGAATCGAAAGCACCTTAAGTGGTTCAGATTCTAGTTTTTATTTTTATAGAACCGCTACCCGTTGAGCTAGCTTCAAATGTTTCTAATAATTATTGTGTTTCTAAATGCACCAATCACAATTTAGCAAATAATTAAATAATTAATTAAATCAAAAAGGGTATTTCTAGTTTTTTCTACTTACAAGTAAGGAAACAAAATAAATATATGTTTGACCTAATATCTCTTCTTTATAACCATCACAGCTACTCAATTCTATTTCATGCATGCAGCTGTTGATGATGTACAAAACCCTAGGCGAGTGTTCCGATCATGAATTTGTTGAATCGCTAGGTCGCGGTTGGCGGAGATCGAAAAAAGCTTGGCGAATCATCTTGAAGAGGCTGCTTTATCCGATAAATCTTCCTGAAGCTTTTGGGAAGCTTCGTATGTTGGTTTCTCTTAAGATATCCTCGAATCAACTTCAGGTTAGTCTAATAACTCGAGTGAAGTGATTATTGAGAGAAGAAAGAAGCTTTTGGATCCCTGTGAGAAATAAAAGGGAGTGATTATGTGGTCCTTGATTAAAGACAACATTGGAAAGGATCTAACATGTGTCTATCTCCCTGTTTATTTCAATGAGGCTATTTCATCTCTAAAAAAAATGCTTTGAGGATATGGAGTACTCTTACTTCTAGATCGTGCTTATGAACATGGAAACAGTCTTGAAAGAGTTTTAAATGTTGTTGCTTTTGTTGTTGTTGGATACGCTTATTCAGAATGACGACATTTAAAACCTTTCAATCCTTTGTTAGGGAAACTTATGAGGCTGATTACCCTGAGAAAGGAATCCGATTCTTTTCTGAAAAGGTGGGTCATCATCCTACTCTCATAGCTTGTCTTTCTCAAGGTAAAGGGTGGAAATTTTGGGGGGACAACAACATCATAACTAAATTTTAGGGGTGATCAATTCAACTTAACCCTGTTGGCGTTCTTACCTTAGAATTTGATGATGGTGAGGTTTTCCAGTGGAGCAGGGTATGAAAAATGCAGAAAGTGTAAAATGGTCATTTAGGATTTTAGTCAATTTTCCCCATATTTATTTATGCATTTTGATTTTGGTATCGTCTTGTCGGGTTACAACCAACATTTATAATCTTATTATGGGTAAAGTTTACTGTGATCATCATGGAATGATGCATATATGTGGTAATATAGAATATTCATGCAAACTCAAGTTCAAAGAACAGTCAATTCTTGAAAGAAATCCAAACCAGGTAAATATGCTTAAAAAATGGTCACATTAAGATTAATTGTTGTAGAATTTTGATCCCTAGTTATTGTTGAAAAGCTACATGGGTTTGTTTAAGATGTTAATGGAAAAAAGCACGCAACGGTATTTGGGAAATGGGACGACAGCATGTATTACATAAATGGAATTACAAATGTGAAACCAAAGGATATGAGTGATGCACATTTGTTGTGTCAAAGGACACTGCCTCCTGTTAATCTCACTCGATACAATCTAACATCTTTTGCCATCACATTGAACGAGTTAACCCGAGGACTACAGGTACAAATCAGAACTCATTCATTCAAATTCAAACACTTGATATCAATTTATTTTGAGATTTTTTTTTCTCTCTGAAGCCTACTGCTTTATTGGTAGACTTAAATAATTGTGAAGATGAGATGTCAATTATATCGCTATTAGCTTACTTACAACTATACAATTTATACCTTGCACGATCAATCAATAGTAGGTGAAGATTCTGCCAGAATATGTTAAGGTAACATGTTTATACTTGTATTGAAATATTTTGTTGGAAGTAAAGTAGATAATATTTTGTTAAAATTCTTAAGGAATTGAAGTTTAAGCAACATACATATATGAAATATTCTTTTAGAATTGATGTTAATATCTGTAGCTATGTTATTTTGGTGTTTTTATTTTATTCAAAAAAAATGTTATAAATTTTATTAGAATATAAGTTAAAACTTGTGTGTATTCTGTCATAATTTATTTATATAAATGCATTTTGTCAAAATGCCTTTAAGAATGATTTCTTAATAACAAGTATATTTGTTTAACTGGTAATGCATTAGTAATGCATGTTATTAGAATAACGATAGTATACTCTAGCAGAATAACTATTAATGCATGTTGTTAGAATAAATTACAATTATTTGATGTCTACTACATTCTATCATAATTTATAGTTGTTATTATTTTAGAATGCTCTGGATTTTTTAATATTTGAAAGTTGATTATGTTTTTTTTTTTTTTTTTTTTTGGATTTAGGTTTTGAAAAGACTGTCATTGATGCGGAAAATGAGAAAAACATGGAGAACTGAAGTGTATTATTTGCAAAAATGTATTATGCTAAAATGTATAAAGTGTTTCTTAACAATAATATTATTTTGGAATGGATTAGAGTTTTTGTTAGATTTTGATGTTTTTTTTTTCTTTTTTAACCATTTTTAGTTTTAATCTTTAAGAATAAATATAATACGTATTATTTAGAAAATGTTATCTTGATAATATGTTGTATAATATTTTAAGCATGTTTAATATAAAAAAATATTGAATTAAATAATATTATGCAAGAATAAAACCGCAAATAGATTTACTAGTTTATTGTTGACTTTTTGTCATTCTGACAGAATAAAATCGGTTATTATTAAAAATAGTATTGCAATTTAATTAGAATTAATTTAAAAAATTCAGATTTTTAAAAAATAAGGAAATTAATAATCCCTTAAAATCCGAAATTTTCATTTTTTAAAGTAGGTTAAATGACCAAAATACCATTTTGCTGAAATTTGTATGATTATATGATACATGCTACCTTATTGTAATATCATAGACCATCAGATCAATGACTGTTGATTCTATTCATCCGATGGTCTTGATCTATCATTCTGGCACACAATAATTAGTAAAAATAAAATAACCTAAGCATATATATATATATATATATATATATATATATATATATATATATATATATATATATATATATATATATATATATATATATATCACAACGATATACTTTATAAAGTATCTTAAATAACATCATTTAAATTCTAAAAGTTTAAGTAGTTTTTGTAAACCTTTAAATTTCCATGTCTAATTGTCATTTTGAATTTAAAGTGTCCATGTTCAAAATGAATTTTTAAATAGTCGATATAATGTATTACTATGTTCAAGTTAAATTTTAACTAATAGAAATATTAGTTTAATTTTGGACTTTAATTCTTTAAATTCTAACTTATAGATATAGTTGTAAAAGTTTTGAAAATTCAACAAATTAACGAACCCGATACTTGATGTTGGAACCACTGCCCGTTGGTTCGGTTCCAGATAATTAGTACCCGCCTACACTCATCCCAATGTACCGTAGTGTTTGGAGCTTACGGGTGTCATGTCGGATGTTTAGGGAACCAAATTTATTGGGCCTTATTTATTTTTTTAGGGTAAATTACATTTGTGCAGTTTAGGGTAATTTGTGGTTTTGTTTTTTTTATTTTTTTATTTTTTTCATTATGATCATCCTTTTAGTTTATATTGGTTTCTTTTTTGATCATTGATTGAGTTACATACTAACATGACATGGTCCAAATTTTTTATCTTTATGTTAATTGTTTATAAATTATTATTTTAGTTTATATATTTATAAATAGTACTAAATGGACCCTACTCATCACCTCCGACTCATTTCTTCTAACTCCACATTTATCTTCTCCGGTTATACCACCTTCCAAGTGACCGGAAAAAAATGATTGAACCATAACTAGATTTCAACCCTTGATTAAAACCCAGAAGAAAAAAAAAATTATTTCAAACACAAAAAGAAAAAAAAAACTAATTATTATCAAACATGCATCAAATACATCAAATAAAATTTGATTTCAACTTAAACGTGTAAAAGTAATTGTACTTGGTTCCACCAGCTGTTATGGTAAATTGTAATGTAATACTGTAATTGTATCTTTGTAAAGTTAGTATTTTGAAATGTACTCAAGTTTAGTTCATTATAAACTAACCGTATTGTTTAATTTTTTTCATGAGTTTATTATAACCATACTATGACTAGATGGCTGATACGATGCTTTGGAGGCGTCAGAAATGTTGATAACAATTGTCACCCCGGACCTGCCGGTCTAACTGTAGCTAAGAATTTAGGTGCAGGATTGTCAATCCCATATAGATCTATATACATTTGTTTCGATCCCTATGATGAAGATTCTGGTTATAATATCAGGACTTTAACTATGTTATTTAAATGTACGAACAACCTGAACATATTAACTCCTAGAAAAGTATATAGATGGTACATGTATAATAACGTTGAAAACTCAATCATTATGAAATAAATGATTGTTAGTAAGTTTCTTGTTTAGTATTCTTGAAATGTATTTGTAAATTGTTCACACTTGTGTGGTTTTGAATCCAACCCTTGTTATTGTAAAACAATGTACTAGTGTATACTTGACTCGTGTATTAGTGTTCTTGAATCATAAATTATACATATTATAATTTATATGTATTTTCTCTATTGATACTAATTGTTCATGAATGCAACCCCTTGCTCGGCAAGTTACAAAGAGTATTGAAACTGAATGAAATAACATTTATATTTATATACATATATAATTATATAAATATGATTTTTGGGGAAAAATATAAGTTGGTATA